AGAATAGGGGACACTAGGAGACAACAGCAGAATTCCACTAAGCTGAGCAGAGTGCAAGACTCCACACGCATCAGTGAAAGCCTGTACCACAGTGTTGTAGTTTGAGGGTTGGGGGCGGGACAGGCGACAACCAGGACCCAGAGGGTCCCGGGGAGGGGGGGGAGGGGAGCGGTTATTCCCTCCCCCTTCCTCTTCCTCTCCACACTGGCGAAAGAGGCAGGAGGTGGGAGAGCACAGCGGGGCTGCATCCACACGGTGCCGAGCGATCCTGCGCCAGCCCAGATCCAGTTTTGTACAGCTTGTATTTACTTCCTTTTCCCTCCATCTTTGTGTGTATATCTACCTCCCTTCTTGCTTTCTGTTCCCAGTTAAACAATATACTTTATTTTTATTAACTCCCAATCGTCTCTCTTACTCCTGACTTCCCTTGTTTATCTCTCCATCTGGGGAAAACTAAGGGATAGGGAGTGGGAGCACAAATTCTGCTCCGTGGGGTCCTGCCCTGACCCCTTAAATGGAGACACACAGCAGTACACTGGCTGCCAGTGCAAACATTCTCCAGATGCAGGCACAGTGAGGACTCCACAACTGTTCTGCCTCCCGCCCTGAGAAAACCAGGATCCTGGCGAAAGACAGGAGCAGTAACTGCAAAACACATACTAAGAAACATTGCTTTTGCTGCTGCTACCACTACAAAAGAGGTGGTAGATGGCATTTAGCTAGCACATAATTTCCCTAAAAATAGTGTTCTACTAGACAAAGAGGCTTAGGATAGAATCTGAGACTGAAAGGCAAATATACCATTTCAGAACCTAAAATACAGAGTCTAAAGTCTTACTTTTTGTTGTCTTCCCTGGCATCAGGACTTATATCTAACTGTTTAAGTCCCAACTTTGGTGACATTATTCATAGGAATAAAAGCATCAGAAATACCCTTAACTAATATGCACCACTTCCCACCTACCTCACAGCTGTGATCGCCAGCTCATAAGCCATTTCTCCCCAGTTTCTGATAAAACTGGCAAGAGGTCACAGTAAATACCAATCACATAATTTTTACAGAATGAGAAAGCAAAATGTGTTTTTTGGGAGTTTGGTTGTTGTTGGGTTTTTTTAATGCTCTGAAGTGACAGGGTGCCTAGTACTGCCACTAGTGCTTCCTTGTTGGAAGAAGCTGTCCTATAAAAACATGTGAGTCCTGACACAGATTTTACCTTCTGAAACACCTGCCTGTATTAAGAGCTGATTTGACTTACTCTTTGCTTATCCCCATCAAGAGTCTTTCAGTTTATCTTGATGGACCACCAAACGCCATATGGAGCAGTATAATCACTGCTGGTGTGGGACTGACATTCTGACACAATAAATCTAATGTGTAGGTGTGTCTCACTTTTTCCCCTAACCCTAGAAATAAACAGGCCAAGCAACCCACTCAAAGCCAAACAGACACCTTCCCCATATTAATACTAAAAGCAGTCATGTTTCCTATCATGTTACCAGCATAAAAATCTGCTACATCAGTATTTCATTTAATTTACATCACAGACTACATAACTATGATTACACAATACTGCAAAACACTTTAAAGATTAAAGTAGTATGTGGGCAGCAGAGACTAGTAACTTTCTCTACTGTGTTTCAGACAAAGCAAGTCACATCGTGTCAGCTGACAGTAACTGCCCACTCATAACAGGAATTTCTAAAAATTAAATGCAAGAGCCCTGCTGCTTCGGTAGAATAAGTAATTTTGGCTTGGTGTTTACAGCAACAGCAAGGAGAAAAATTATGTAGTGATTCATCAACAGGCTACTGCCATTTCTGAAGTATTTCTGCACCCACAGATTCCACTCACACTTTCAAAATCCTACAGCACTGATATTCATAGTCTATAGATTTTTAACTCTCATAAAACAGGAGCTGTGATATATTAATCCAGTTTGGATATGGAGGGAAATCTTCACAGACAGAGATGCTAGATCTAGAGCAAGAACACCTGGAACACTAATGCACATCTCTAGATCTAGGTCCACAAATTCTTTTGACCCTCAGGAAATGTTAACTTTACAAGTTAGACTTAGGTCACATTGAATTTCCAGACTCACCCAGTACTACTACCATATGTAGTCCTGATCCATTTCCCTACCTCCTTCTAAAATCCACAACCATTAATCATCCTATTCAGTGAAGCAAGCAATCATACAACAAATCATATAGCAGATCTTCAGATCAATCCTGTGATCTTGTACCATGCACCAAGAAGAAAACAGTTTTAAGCCTTCCAATTTACCTC